AACTTAGGAAACTATCTCATTCTTCCTTTCTCTGGGAGGCTATTTTGCCTGTTGTTTCCTTGCATACAAAATGTGGTCTGCAACGAATAAGGCAGGATAAGATACAGTGAGTCCTGTTTCTTGCTTCCAAAACCACAGGCCCTAGACACTACAAAGGAGGGGATAAATGGTGTATGTGCTGTAAGGACAATGTTCAAATGCAATCCATTCAAGATAGATTTCCATGATTTTTTTACTGCAGCTCTGAATTCTTGAGCATGGTGGTTCTTCGCTTCCGTTTCTGTGCAGAAATCTGCAGATCTTTAAGAAGGGATGCCTCTGATCTTGGGAATAAAAAAATAAAAATCCCGGTACTGACATATGTGGCACGTGTAAGTGGAGATATTTCAAATGCCATTTATTATGGATCCAGTCTTCAAAACAGCCCCACTCCACATTTTTAAGAGCTCACGGCCAGCTGTTTCGACAAGCCTTTAAAAAATGCTTGGTTCCTTGCTTTTTTTCTACTTCAAGCCCTTAAATATGCTTTAGATTTTCCAGACCACTCAATATACACCAGTTACCATCTGGGAACAGACTTTTAGAGATGACTTCTGCCCATATACAGGCACTGGCTCTGCCTGAAAACTTCTCCCTGGCTGCTGATGCTGGGAAGACCAACTCCGTGTGTCATCCAGATGCAACCTGGATGGCTGCTTTTCCAGGAGGTGAGGGACTGGATTTACCCAAGAAAGGTCTTAAGCAAAGCAAAATATTGATTCCAAGGTCTTAAAATGTGCGCTACCCATTTAGCTATCCTTCCTCACATCCCGTAATTGTGCACAGCAGGGATGCTTGTATCCTCCTCCGAAGCATCTGGCTCCACCAGGGACAGGATACTGCTCGTGCTGGACTGCTGGTCTGGGATGCTATGGGAATTCCTGACTTCCCGAGTTGTTTATTTTTCCTTTGCAATGACCCACCAAGAGATGCACAGGGAGCTCTGCAGCTTCCTGCCAGTAGGTCTGTTTAACTCTTTGCTCCCTGGCCTCTCCTCTTCAAGCAACCACAAAGGAAATTTTCCCAGCCCCTGGCAAGAGAACAGACTGGAACATCCAGTCCTCGTCCTGAAGAGCTGTGTGAAGTTAGAGGCACAGAATGGTTTGGATTCAAACAGACCTTAAAGGTTGTCTTGTTCCACCTCCCCTTCAAGGACACCTTGCTCTAGACCACATTGCTCAGAGTCTCATCCAACCTGGCTTTGAACACTTCCAAGGATGGGGCAGACGCCCCAGTTTCTCTGGGCAACCTGTGCCAGGGACTCACCACCCTCTCTAATTCTAATTCCTAATTTCTTTGTAATATCCCATCTAAACCTACTCCCTTTCAGTTTGAAGCCATTCCCCCTTGTCCTGTTACTACAGTCCCTGATGAGAAGTTCCTCTCCAACTTTCCTGCAGCCCATTCAGATGCTGGAAGGTGCTCTGATGTCTCCACACAACTTTATCTTTTCCAAGCTGAACAGCCCTAACTCTCCCATCCTGTCTCCACAGAGGAGCTGCTCCAGTTCCCTTTATCAAGTGGCCTGCTCTGAACTTGCTCCAACAGTTCCTTATGTTGGGGGCACCAGGACTGTACACAGTATTCCAGGTGGAGCCTCGCAAGAACAGAGTAGAGGGGGAGAATCTTCCTTTCCCTCAATTGTGTGGGATTATCTCTTAGTGGCTCTTAGGGACAGTAACAATCAGAGAAGGCAGTTCAGATGCACTGTGCAGAGCTACTTTCACTACCCTTAAGGCTGCTGAGCTTCTCCAAGAGTATCTCCCTGCTGTTAATTTCAGTCAGTGGCAGGAGTAATGAAACCAGGGTTTGCCTGGCCCTGTTGTCACACTTTCTCCAGCCTGTGATTCAACCCTCACCAAACAGCCCAGGGCAGCTATTTACCAGAAATAACTGGTTATCCCTAAAATGACAGTGGCAGGATGCCTTGGACCACCCCATCTCAAGTCTGGGGCACTGCACTGGATTCATACAAGGATATCCAACACCAATGTATTTCTGAAAGAAACACTCATGCTGGTTGTCTGCTTACCCAACAGCTGGGCTCTAAATTGCGTGTTGTTTATTAATAACGTATTTTGGTCTAATTCTTAATGAAACATCCATTAAAAACCTTTATTTTAGTTGTAAATGCCGAACTCCAGTCTCACTCTAATGTAAATCTAAAATAACACCATTTATTTCAGCCTCCTGGTTAATGCTGTTATTTCCCAGCAAATAGATTGTACCCTTAAATTATCGTTATAAAACAGTGAAAGTCCAGAAAAGCTCCCTGCACTTAAGTTGCATCATGGTTTCATTACCATTCTTTCTTTTCATCTGCTTGCAGCTTTGAAGCTGAGATTTTTCATGCTTCACCTCAGACAGTGACATTTTTTGAAAAGCCAGTGGGAAAGTCCTATCATCTGTTTCTATGCTAGGCAATCACACACTCCAAAACAAAAATGAAGCAGAAGCCCCGGCACCCTCTGGCTGGGAAGGACTCTTCCCCAGATGCCTGATGGTTCCTGTGGGCTACCACGAGGCACAGGGGGCCAGAAGGTTTTCCTCTGCAGAACTGTTAATTTCTGTGACTTTCCCACTTTTCTCACACATGATGGTCCTAAAGCCCAGGAACATTCATTTCTGCCTCTTCCCTAAGCCCCTACTGGAAAACAAAATCATTCACACAGTGACAATGAATTAATTGTGCCACTGCAGGAACAGCTCTCAGGCATCAGAAATTCGGAAGTGAGAGAACTGAAGCTCTTCATTCAACTTTAATTAAGTCCCAGTGTAAAATGTATTACAATAGTCTTTACTCTTTATTAACACAGCCTTGGGCCAACTCTTACACAATCCAGACAGTACATTTTTTTCCAACAATACATTTTACACATGAGGCTGGTATTACTACCTATTGCTAAGCCTGCCCCATGCTTCTCTGAGACCCCATTTTCAGTTGCTTCTCTCTCTCTCTCTCGCTCGCTTTATCATGTGGGATTAATGTTTCCAATCCTGGGCCCTTTTGTATTTTTCCAATGCAAAACTCACAGAGAAAATACCTACCAAATATCTAGCTGTTTCAGCTACACTGAGACAGCAGGCTAATGAAAAATACACTATTTTGCCCAAGCTCAAAAATTTTGGCAACCTTTGGTTAGTCTGAGGCTTCAAAACTTGCAGAGAGTTAAGGCTACCTGTGCCTCAACACTGAAAACACTGAAAAAAATAACAGCACCTCTAATTTCTGCAAAAGCTTATATTTTTTAACAATTAAGCTAAAGCTTAATTAAAGCTCCTTTTGTCTCAAGTTTGTTCTGATGTGGGGGATGAGTGAGACTCTCCTCTGTAAGTCTGTGCTGCTGTGGGCTGAGACCAGGAGCAAAGAGAAGGAAGCTGGTCTCTACCCAATGCTGACAGACTCTTGGAGAGGAGATGGGAACAGTAAAAATGTTAGGAGCTCTTTGTTACTTGGGAAGAGCATTAATTTTTTCTTCTGAAGGAATGTAGGCTCAGTCAGATCTGGGAAGATTTTCACCAGGATGGCAAAAAAGCACGCTTTTGATAAAAAAAACTTGCTAAATTTAAAAGAAAAGGTGTGAAGGCATTTTCATTGCAAAATGGAAACCCTATCTTCTAACCACTGAAGAACAACTAAGATGTTTTTGTAGGTATTTTCTTTCAGACTTAAACAGTCTGGATAGAAAAGATCAGCACATTACATAAATTTTTTCCAAACTGCAAGATGCAGCAAAAGGATCTTATAGGCCTTACACCCAATTCTCTCAGGCACAGATGTCCCTCCTCTCAGAGGGACCAAAGGGATCAGAGGGATGGAGCAGCTCTGCTGGGAGGAAAGGCTGAGGGAACAATTGGGATTGTTCAGCCTGGGGAAGAGAAGGCTTTGGGGTGACCTCATTGTGGCCTTGCAGTGCCTGAAGGGAACCCACAGGAAAGATGGAGAGAGACTCTTGGCAAGGGCCTGGAGTGGCAGGACAAGGGGCAATGGCTTCACACTGATGGAGAGCAGGATTAGATTGGATACGAAGAAGAAATTCTTCCTGTGAGGGTGCTGAGGCCCTGGCACAGGTTTTCCAGAGATGCTGTGGCTGCCCCATCCCTGGCAGTGTCCAAGGCCAGGCTGGATGGGGCTCTGAGCAAGCTGGGATAGTGGAAGGTGTCCCTGCCCATGGCAGGGGGAGATTGGAATGAGATGATCTTTAAGGTCCCTTCCATCCCAGGCTATTCTGTGATCCTATGGTTTAGATTTCAAGCACTCTGAATTGGAAATGTTTCTTTTGCTGTACAAATACAATTAGAATTTAAAAAAATGGGAAACCCCAGAACTGCATTTGAAAATTAGGATCAATTTGATTGTAACAAAAAGGAAGAAATATCAAAATTCTCCCCTTTTAAGTAAACTGGACTAATTACTCCTCTATAACCAAATCACAAATCCAAATCTTCATTTAACAATGCTCTCACAGATGTAATAATGCCACGTATTTACTCTGTGAATTAAAATAATAAATTAGCACACATTAAGGACAGCTTGAATTTTGTCCTGCCTTGAAATTAGCTCATTATTCACTTCCTCCAAGCCAAGAATTTTTAAGTGATACCTGAAGGAGGGCCAGAAGAGCAGCTTTAAGGTTGCAAGCATAGGACCAACAGCAGCACAGCACCTCCTGGTTTGCTTAATATCCCAGGGAATGCTGCCTGCTCAACCCATCACCCAGGGCTCCTGAGGAGGCTCAGCCTGCTGGCAAAGCAGGCTCTCCCCACCAAGCCTGAAAAAAAACTGAATTCCAGGAGATCAAAGAGCTTTGCAGACTAAAACCAAAGTGCTGGGTCCACACCTGCAACTCACTTCCTGCAAAAGCACCCACCTCCTTTGCTCCACTCAGCCTTCAGGATCAGGCCCAGCTCTCCACTGTGGCCTGGGAAGTGAAAGGAGAAGAGGAATGTGGGACACTCACCACATCTGTGTTTGTGATCTTGGCCAGGAGGTCCGTGAGGCTGTCCCCATCATCGAGCTGAAGGCCACAGATGGCTGCTCCCACACTTCCAGTTGCTATCATTGATGGTGGGTACATGGCAAAGTTAAAATCTGCAAGAACAGATCTGGGAATTAGTCCAAGTCCAGACCAGAAAAGCTGCAAAACATCAGAGGCAAGCAACATAAAAAAAAAACCACACCCAAGAATAAAACCCGGGGAAGTAGAAGAAAGGGAAAAGTGCCACTCTTTTTGGTCCCATGGAGCTCATTAGTCACACTGCTCATCACAAGCAGTCAAAGGAGGGGGAACAGACCTGCAAATTAAAATGGAAATGCAGTTCAGTCTTTTATTCTCACTGATGCATAAAGTAAACCTGGACAATTTTTAATAGTCTTTCCTTAGTTTTAAAGAAAAGGAAAGAGAAGAAGGAGGCTTTCTGTAATTTATGTCAGAAATTTGGGTCTTGGTCACATTAGACCTCTCTGTATAACCAGAAAACTAACTGGAATAAGGTATCACAAAGGACCAAAATGAGATTTTTAGTCACGTCAATTTTTAAAGAGTTAATTAATTTGAGCATTTAAAGACCTGTCCAGGAAAGAGATTTTAATTAACGGTTCATCTTTACTACCTTAGCAATTAGGAAGTAAGAACACTTACAGCCCATAGCTATGAAATCAAAGAACAAAGATCACATTTGTCATTACTACTACTTCTTAATAAACAAGCTGAAAATACACTTCAGAACTTCCTCTCACACATCTGTCAAATCAGAAGAGAAATTCAAATAAAATCCTGTGATCTTTATAAGGCAATTTTATGGTTTATGATACTTCCACAGATACTGGTTTATCAGCACTAGTTTTTCTTGCTATATACCAGATCTCTCACATCTTGATATATTCCTAAAATTAAACTTGATTTGCAAGTTCTTTGGCTCAACAATAACACGTTAACAAACCTTTCTCTACTGATTTTCAGTATTAGCATACCTTTCTCTACCAGTTTTCAGCTGGGGGAACTGGAGTAGAAGGAAGAGTAAACCAAAGTAATACATGATAAGAAATAAATAACAAGCAATACATTCCATCAGTAGAAACAGATTACAGAAAACTGCCCAGCTGCAGATCCCAAATCCCCTCTGTTCACAAATTCTGTAACCCTGCTGCTGTCTGTGTAACCATTCAGGTCTTTAGACACATGGATAGTTGTTCTCAGCCTCCCAAACTCAGAGCTGGCACATACTTCAATAGCTGTGGAGACAGCATGTTCTTCATCTGGCTGGAATATATCCCTAGGATTGAAGCAGTCCAGTAAGAATGGCACTTGGGACGTAACATTCACCCAGATGGACCAGAGCTGGGGTGTTAGAAGTGGGTACACAAAAGGAGGAGTTGAAACTCTGACAAGGATTTCTCAGTCTCACAAAGCCACCAGGAGGTTCCCACCTGCAAGCCCAACACTGCACGCTGCTTCCTACCAGACATCACACTCTGACAGACACTTTTGAAGGGCAAATTTCCACTGGCTATGTGGGAAGTCAAGAATATGGACTGCCATTATTATAAAAATAATAATTTATGCCCTACTGTAATAAGAACCCACTGTCCATAGCAAAGCTGATTCTTGGAATTGGATTCTTCCATTCTTGGAAATGAAATTAAATTGCCCCCCACTAATGAGTGAGACAACAGAAGAACCTTGACAACCAAAATTCTCAGTGCAGGACAGAGTCCTGAGTACACTCATCTCAGCACATGATGAAGGAATGGGAATTACACTTCCAGGATTGCACTTTCTCTCCAGTGGTGTATCCCCCAGGGCTCAGTGTTGGGGCCAGTTCTCTTAAACGACCTGAATGAGGGGATAAAGTGCATCCTCAGTCTGTTCTCAGGCGACACCAAGCTGGGCTGGAGTGTTCATCTGCTTGAGGACAGGCTCTGCAGAGGGATCTGGACAGGCTGGATCCATGGGTCCTGGCCAGAGAGATGAGTGAGAAGGCCAAGTGCCGGGTCCTGCCCCTGGGTCACAACTCCCAGCAGCTCCAGGCTGGGGAAGAGTGGCTGGGAAGAGCCCAGTAGGAAAGGACCTGGGCCTGCTGGTCCATAGTGCGTGCCCAGGCAAGAAGGCCAATGGCATCTGGGCTGGGTCAGCAGTGGTGTGGCCAGCAGGACCAGGGCAGTGACCGTCCCCCTGTTGTGGGCACTGGCGAGGCCTCACCAATGTGAGGTGTGTCCAGTGCTGTGTCCAGTTGTGGGCCTGTCACTGCAAGATGGACACTGAGGGGCTGGAGCGTGTCCAGAGAAGGGAACGGAGCTGGGCAAGGGGCTGGAGCACAAGTCTGATGAGGAGCAGCTGAGAGAGGAAAGGAGGTTCAGGGGGACCTTATTGCTCTCTACAACTCCCTGACAGGAGGGTGCAGCCAGGGGTGGGTCAGGCTCTGCTTCCAGAGAACAAAGGACAGGACAAAATGAAACAGCCTCAAGTTGTGCCAGGAGACGTTTAGATTGGATATTAGGAAAAATTCTTCAGGGTGATCAGGCATTGGACCAGCTGTCCAAGGAAATGGTGGAGTCACCATCCCTGGAAGTGTTCAAAAAACATGGAGATGTGGTACTTGGAGTCGTAGTTTAGTGGTGAACACGGCAGTTCTGGGTTGGGGTCCATGATCTTAGAGGTGTTTTCCAAGCTTAATGATTCTGTGATCCAATCGTTTTCATGTTTACCTCACGTGGATTTATACAAACACACATAAGGATTAACCACACCCCTAAGTTGGGAAGCAACTTCCATATTTGATCTTGGATGTACCAAACCGCCTCTCACGCATGGGAACTACAGATAGCAATTGACTTTCCACAGGTTTCCCCTCCTCGTTCAGAGTTTCAGGCAGGATGCAGTAAAAAGATGGTGCAGGGAGGTGCCATGTCCAGGCAGAATGGGCTGAGTGAAGGACAGAGCTCCACCTGCCCTCTGAACTTCCTTGCCTCGCATCACGACCTCCACGTTATCCAAATGCCGGTGTTCTCGTGGCTGATTTTACATCCACTCCCAGAAACTGTCTTCCTAGGAAGCTGAATAAAGAGGCACAGTGTCCCTGCCAACTAGCACTGCTGTAGGTCTGCTTCCACGTGGGGTCACATGCGAACATTTCTATGCCCAATAACCTTGTTAGCTCCCTTAATGTCATTCATAATGCAAATGAGACAGCGAGCGAATGGCCAGAGGCCCAGAGTGACTAAAGCTCAGCATCTAGAAAGTCTTACATTGCCTCTAGCTCTAAACTAACTTCCCTCCATAACAAGCACCATAAACTTGGCTATCAAAGCTACACATGCCCAGTCTTTGTTGTACAACAGGCAGCGATTTGTATCACTGGCTTCTATTTTTAGCATATTAATTAACTACTGCAACTGGTGAGGCAAGTGTCTCCAACTGGAGAGTGTGGCACCATTGTCTGAAGTCATCACCTCATCTCGAGCTATTGAAAATCATGGCAGTGACCCTCCTGCTGATATGAATTTAACCTGACATGCCCACAAAGGAATGGGGGGTGGTGCACCAATTTTGTGCACATGGTTCTCCACATCACCCTGGACCCTATTAGTGTGGAAAGAGCTCACTGAAAGAAAAGAAGCCACATTGTGCTGGGCCACCTAGAGGGTTGAATAGAAAAGGCTGAGGAAAAGAGCAGGCAGCGCAATAAAGGCCATAATTAACATATTTCCATATTCAAGCAAAGCAATAACTACGTGAAATGTTTGTCAAGGTGCAATGAAAGTATAAATATTAAGTACCGTATCTGAGGGGATGCAGAACCGCCCCCCCAGTCTCTTAGATTCCATTGAGAAATTCAAAACAAGCTTTTTACATGCTATTTTCAATTATAAGCATTTATCTCTGCTTCTGCTATGACAACAAGACAAGTCTCACCATCCTCATTCAGTTTTTCACCCAGGTAAAACTGTTGTACCCCACTCTCCCAAATTAGGTTCAAAATTTGTCCTGAGATTTAAAAAAAAAAGCTAAACAATAAAATAAATAAATAAATAAATAAATAAATTAAAAGGTGGGGGCCACAGAAAGATAACCTAAAAATGCAAGCTTAAACATATGCATTTACTAAAAATCCTTGTAGGAAATGATGAAACCTAAACTACAGGGGAAATTTTACAGAAAGCACTTCTTACTGGACACTTGGGAATTTTATAAAAAGCACTTCTCCCCGGACACCTGAAGTAAGGTTATAGGCTAAATCCTGTGTGCAAACTTGGTTAACATGAACCCAGAGCCTACATCTAAAGCATGACTCTGACTCTAACTTTGTTGTGATTTATAGGTTTATAGTTGGGCTCGATGATCTCAGAGGTCTTTTTCAACCTAATTGATTCTGTGATTATGCCATTCCATGGGAAAAGTACAAAAGAGTCTCATTATAAGTTAGAGAAGCAGTGTCACAGTGCATGGTCTATGAGAATCTGAGCACATGAACATTTCAAGGGAAGACGCTGGGCTGTTAGAAAACACAACTTGTTTTATTTTCTATTTCCAGGCAATAAACACTAGAACCATCCCATCCCCGCTTTAGTATAACCTCTTTCCCAAAAGGCCTCGAAAACAAGTGACCAGCCCTGCACAACCCCACTGACTCCAGCTCTGGAAATAAAGAAAGGCAGTACAAAAAACAGCACCCTTTGAAACACAGCCACCTGTGCACCATCCAGCCAGAGTCATCCAGCAAATTCAGGGTACCCTGAACCTGCCCCCCACTTTCAGCCTGGAGCTGACACAGCCAGGGCATGAGGAGGTTTTCCTGCCAGTGGAGCACACGTAATCCACGCCGAGGTTCCAGGGCTGCGAGCACTGTGGCTGAGCTGTTTTGCTGGCTGTCTCCCAGTCCAGTGGTCTTCACTACCTTCAAGCCAGGAAAATGCAAGGCTGACAGTCAGTCCAAAGCAGAAGGGAACTGGAGGAAGTAACCCAGAGAGGTCCTGCAAGGGGAAGCCTTAACTTGCAGCCAACAAATAAAACCATCAGCAGGAGAAGAGCACTGACAAATGCCCAGGCTGAATGAGCTCAGTGTGTCAAAGGTGGGGGAACTCTACCTACT